AACAGGCATATGTAGACATACCACACAAACCACTGTTCCAACATTTACCATTTTATCTAAATAAACTTTTTATTCGTCGAATTTTTAGTGAGGCAATATAGATGCACAAGCAGCTATCAAAAATAATACCAAGAGATTCCTTGCACTTTTGCCGTTTCCCAACAGGGTCACATTTCACAAAACCATCAAGAAAAGATGTCAGCACTGAGACCCTGTCCCGTGCTGTCTTCCCAGGTTTCCTTGTGTCCACTGGTGGGTGTCAAGTTCTGTACAGTCCTATCACCTGGCAAGGGCATGTTGCTGGTGTTAAGTCTAAGGACTCTTTAGCCTGGGCTGAGGTTGTGGCTCAGCAGTAGAGCACTCGCCTAGCACATGCGAGGCCCTGGGTTCAATTCTCAGCATCACATAAGAAATAAAATAAAGGTATTGTGTCCATTTACAACTAAAATATAAATATTAAAAAAAAAAGACTCTTTAGTCTTAGATCCTAATTTCTCTTAGGAATTTTTCTGAAAGTTTTGTGGTTTTACATTAAAATCCATGACCCATAGATTGGCATTTGTTTTCATTTTGCCTGTGAAGTTGGACCACCGGAGCTCCCTGTGGGAAAGGCTCTCCTGCCTTCCTCCCCGTCCCTCCTCTGTCAGCCAGCTGAGCGCAGCTGTGCAGGGTCACTTCCGTGCTACCCCAGGGCCTCTTCGCACACTGCCTCGATTGCTCCTGGCTACCACAGTGCGCCTGGCTACGGGACGCGGGGTCCTCCATTCTGCGTCCTCTCAGTGCTCAGCTGTCCTGGTGCCTGTGACTCAACCAATAGGCGTGACACTCTTTGTAGGGTGATGGGAAGGTTCGAGAATCACCTCTGTGAGTACTGAACTTACTGAGCCACACACTTAGAATTTTATGGATTTTGTGGTTCATAAACCATTTCAATTTAACTTATTGTTTGCAGGTAATATTGTTTAAAGGTACAAGGATCAAACTAGACTTTCTCGTTGACCTAATCAGAGGTTGAAGGAGAATCACAGAGTGATTTCCTTGCTGCATGAGCCAAAAACAAATGCCATCTAAAATGGTTTTGTGCCTGACAAGAGGTCAGTGCGAGACCTGGCAGAAAGGGCACTACCTGGGACTGTGGGCTGCTGATCAGCAGCCCTGACGTCGCTCCTGGAGGCAAGACTGGGTGGCCTTGGGTTCTCGCACAGGACCTGGGTTGTGAGTGCATCTCCAGTCGGGAGTGAGGCGGTGGGTCGTGTCAGCCAGGGATCCTGACAACCGCCCAGGCAGGAATCCGCTGGGCACCAGAATGCCGCAGAGGAGGGCACAGTGCCAGTGCTCACAGGGCGGCCTTGGCTAAGAGGTGAGTGTCCACAGTGCTGGTGGCAAGGCCCGTCTCCCTGGTTGAGGAGCCACCCTGTGACAGAGCCCTCCCTGAGCCGCAGGGGCCTCTTAACTGCTTCAATATTTTGAACTTGAACCAGAGAATACCAAGCCAGGATCTCTGGAGACCAAGGCTGGGCGTCCTGGCCACCAGAGGTAAAGGCAGCCCCGCTGCCCCAGGCAGATGTTGCTGGCCGGCAAATGCCCATTTCAACTGGACGCCAGCTCTACATAACCACGAGCCCTCACCAAGGCCATTCCTCTGGGAACTATTTCCACTGGACCCTGCTCCAGCCGAGGCCACTGCCCTGCCCTGCTCCCAGGGCGAGCGGAAAGTGATCCTGCAGGTGGGGGCCGGGCAGCCTTTCCGGATCACAGCAAAGACGGCAGACATCTGAACTCAGTCCGGGGAGTTTGAGGATCGTCCAACCCCCAGGAAAACAGACAATTAAGTGGGTTTATGGCTATTACTATAAACCAACAAGATGCAACGTGATATAAGGCTTCTGAAATCCCAAAGCTGCCGAGCAATTTGTCAAATGCCGTGATACAGACCTTTGCAAGATCCATTTTCATTGCTTATTTAACTCTGGTTTGGTCAAATTTGGATTAGCAAAACCAGAAGCCTGACATAACTGTCCTTGTGAAAATAGACGACTGGACATCCTGAAATTAGATCAGGAATGGGGACCCCGCAGTCCAATGCAGCAGACCCCCCCGCCCCCCTCAGTGGGTTCAAAAACATTAAGTGGAAAATTCCAGGAAAAAATGGTTTACATTTGAATAACTTTTATTACAGGTTATGATTGTTGCATTTCGTTTCTATCCGTGGTTAGGGTCCTCTGCTGTGCTTTGTAAATAAGCTTTCCCAGAGGATGTATAGATAGGAGAAATAGAGAAATACCACCTACAGCTTCAGGCACCCACTGAAGATCGTGGACTGTGTCCCCGTGGAAGCAGGGGGACCACTGCACAGCCTTTCTGAATCCCATTCAGATAATTAAACAGCTCACTCACTAGGCTAGAGGGAGTCACTTCAAACTCCAGCTGTGTGGACTGGGTCCCTGCACCCCTCTCTGTGTGCTCTGGTGTGGATATGACTGCGTGTGCCCCAGGGGCACAGTCCCCATATGGGGGTGCTGAGCTGTGGGACCCTTCAGAGGCGAGGCTGACTGACGGTGGGCACCACCCCAGGGAGGGGTGAATGGAGTGCCCACTGCACCCTTAGCCAGCTCCCGCAGGGTTAGGGCTGTGAAGAGAGAAACTGGCCCCAGCTCTGCGTGGCTCCTGTGTCACCAAGTGACCCTTCTGCACACAGCTGGTCCCTTTATGTTATGCAACAGCCACGGGACACTTGCCAGGACACCACTGTCACGTTCTTGAACCTCCAGACAAAGCTTAATAAGCCTCTTTATAGTGCCCAGCCTCAGGTATTCCAACACAGCAAGCACCAGGCAAAGGAAGCTACAGGACCCACGGCACAGGGGGCCATCGCGTAAGCTGTGCTCCTAGGAAATGCCCCAGAGTCAGACCTCCGAACCCCACAGCAATGTTCTGTGGACCAGGCTATATGCTTAGGTTAAAATCCAGAATTAAAACAGGCACGGATGCTACGGAAAGTATTAAGAATTCAAATGGTCATTTTCCATACGTACGTGTTGCTAAAATTGTTAGTGGGAATGAGAACATTAATGGAGATCGTAGCAATAAAAACGTCAACAAAACACTACAGAGATACCTGGGGTCAGGCATGTGACTGTGCTGCATATGGATTGTTGGTTTTAAGGTTTTTTTTTGTACTAGGAATTAAACCCAGGGGTGCTGAACCACTGAGGCACATCCCCAGTCCTTTTTATATTTTATTTACAAAACAGGGTCTTACTGAATTGGTTAGGGCCTCACTAAGTTGCAGAGACTGGCCTCAAACTTGTGATCCTCCTGCCTCAGACTCCCGAGTCACTAGGATTACACCGCGCTCCACATGGTTTGGATTTTAACATTCCTCATCTCCTGGCTGTCAGACTTGCATCAATTCTCCTTGACCACGTTGACCACCACAAGTGAGTAGCTATCAACTGTGTCATCACCCGGGGAGGCCAGAACCCCCAGCCAGGCAGGGAGGAGGGCAAAGGGCCAGCCCTGTACACAGGCTTGAGCCGGCTCACCTGATGTCTGAGAGGTCACACTTGTTCCCCGCGATGGCCACCACGATGCGTTCTGGGCCATGTTCCTTCAGTTCCTTCACCCATTTCTTCAGCGTGTGGAATGAATCCTAGACCAGAGCACAAGGCAGTTGTTGAGCCAACCCACCAATGTGACATTTGGCCAAGGACAAACACCATCTCCCCATAATTTAGAGGAGACCAACGTTTTTAAGAAACTCTCATAGTCAACATTAGCTACGTGATTCCTAAACAGTCTATGGCAGTTTTCCTTTCTCCAGAATTAACACCTGGTGAGGTTCAGAAAATCACTGTAGTCGTTTTTCTATAAATAGCCTAGATTTAACACTCTCGGGGCTGGGAAGTGGCTCCCGGGGAGAGCCTGCCTGGGGTGAGAGGCCTCATGTTCTGCCCCTGCACCGACAAACAGCTGCGGCCTTGACTCTGGTGGAGGAGACCGCTTGCCTGCGCAGGCCTTCACCACCATCCCTCAGGTCACAGGAGAGGGGTCAGATCTCAAGACAGCACAGTGTTAATAGAGCAAGGGCCATGCACACTGAGTGGCACTTCAGGGGAAGAAGTCATGATCCAGTTGTCCGGAAAGCGGGGAAAATGCTGCCAAACTACATGCCCCTGAATTCTGCACACACTGCCCTCATCTGTGGGGGATGCACCCCAAGACCCTCAGTGGATACCTGACAGAGTGTAGTCCCAAGCCCCAGTGTTCACCCTGATTTTCCTCCACCTACATGTGCATGACGACATTTGATTTATAAATTCACAACAGCATGGGATGATCATGACCGTGCACTGCAATGGAAGTCATTGAAACTTAGGAAATGTCTTTCTGGAATTTTCCACTTCCTATTTTCTGATGGCAGTTGACCTTGGGTGACTGAAACTAGAGACGGGGTGACAACTGTACACAAACACAGCACACGCACCTGCGTGCGCCTGTGCCCTTGGCATTTCAAGGAGCACGATCAAAACGCTACCAGAAAATAAGTACGCAGACTTGGTGAAGCAGAGCTGAGAGAGAAACTTTTTCTTAAAATGATGACACTCTGGAGGCAATGTCAGCAGACAAGATCTGGGGACAATATCTCCAAGTGGATGGTCCAGTGTTTAGAAAGGGAGGTTCTCTGTGGTCTGATTTAGAGGTAAGTCTGAGACGCTTCATCAGGTACGGGTGACATACGCTCAAGGAGGGTCCCTGCCCTTGACCACCCACTAGGAGGCCTTGTCCCAGGCTCCTGGCAAGACTCAACAGTGCCAGCTCTGCTGGGGTCCCCAGAGACAGGGATGTCACCACAAGGGCCCCTGGTCCTAAAGGAGGCGCTCTCACCTGCTTGGTGATGTCGTACACGATCACGGCAGCGGCCGACCCTCGGTAGTACATGGGCGCCAGGGAATGGAACTGCAAGGACACAGACAGACGTTAGACCACCGACATCAACGTGTGCTTCCATTGTTGTCCCCGCAGGGTCTGCAAACTCCTCTTGGAATTCTTCCAGGGCTCCTGTTAACTTTCCTCCCCTCACCCCCACACACAGGCTTGCAGTTTCCAGACCATGAAACCTCCTCAAGAGTGCAAAACCCAAAGCCCAACAGGCATTTCAAGACAGTGATGCAGAGCTGACACATATCCCCCGGTGAGCACTGTCCAGGGAGCTGGAGTGCTTGACCGCCCCCCCTTACAGAGGGACACCCCAGGCAGACCCCTTCCTCCGTATGCTGGACAGCTGTGGTTAAGAGCCACTGAGGACGTGGACATCCCCGGGCAATCCCAGGAGATTACATAGCAGCAAGAAAATACGTGTCCCCAGGGAGGGAAAGAGCACGCTGGAGACACGGCTGGACCTTGCAGAGCCGGTGGCCGGGGCAGCCCCAAGTAGTGTCTCTGCTTGCTGGCCCTGGCCCTGCCAGCTCCTCGGTCCAACAAATACCACCCCAAAACTCTCGGGAGGAGGCAACTGTCTGCCACGGGTCTTTCCAAGCCCAATGATGCCACTCAAGTGTGCCTGCTGCAATTGCAAGGCTCCCACGGTGTACGCCTAGGTGGCCTGAGATCCACGTGTCACACCCGACAAAATGCCCATGGTTTTCAAAACAGCCTCCACCTTAGGAAGAGAGTCGTGCAAACTTCATTTCTCAAAGCTCCCGGGGAGCCAGGCGGCGGTGGCCTGAGGTGGACGGAGCTCCCTTCCACCCGGCCTCCTCGAGCGGGCGGGGCACAGGCCTCATGAATGATTGAAGAGTCGGTGGCAAAGGAGGCATTACTCATTCCTTCCTTCCTCCAAACGGAATCACTTTGAAATCAATCTGCTGGCTCAGCCACTTAGAGGGCTTTATTGCCGGGGACGTGGGGGTTTTAATGAGTTAGAAGTTCCCATCTCACTTCCAGAAGTCAATAATGCACTGACCAAGGGTAATGTTTGTGGGGGACAAAACGATGACTCACTCCTGGCACACACTTTCCACACACATAAAGCAGATGCCCCAGCGTCAGCCTCCGAACGCCCCACGACGCCACGTGACTTCCGCAGGGTCAGGACTAGGACCCAGGGGACGCTGGCAGAAAGACTCGGCTAGAAATGAAGGTCAGGATCCCAGGAGGCTAACAAAGCTCTGTTTTAAAATCTCACTGAAAGGATGTTGGAGAATCAGCCCAATAGATGTCAGTTCAAAATCCTTTCTTCCCCAGTTACCAACGACACACCTCTGAGACCAGACTCCAGGGCTCAAGTCACTCTGTGGCCCATTTAATTGTTTAGAAGCAGCCGGGGAATTGTGAAAGGCAATGCTCGTCTTCAAAAGAGCGGGTGTCCACGTCCTCAGTGGCTCTTAACCACAGCTGTCCAGCATACGGAGGAAGGGGTCTGCCAGGGGGGTCCCTCTGTAAGGGGGGGGGCAAGCACTCCAGCTCCCTGGACAGTGCTCACGGGGGGCTATGTGTCGGCTCTGCATCACTGTCATGAAATGCCTGCCGTGACCAACTCAGGAAGACAGCAGGCTGATTCTGGTGTGCATCCGGGCAGCGTCAGTCCGTTGGGGGTCACCCCGAGGCTCTGGGCAGCACATCATGGCGAAGTTCCGCTCACCGTGAGCCAGGCAGCAACAGACAGGAAAAGTGGGGGACCAGGGCCTGTCTCCCCAACAAAGGGCACGTCCCCGACAACCTGAAAGGCCTCCCTCAAAGCCCCACCTCCTCCCCAGAGCACCAGCCTGAGGACCCAGCCTCCCACACAGGGCCTTTGGGGCACTCCAGACCCACCTCCAGCAGGGCAGAGGATAGATGGGCGTGGCCTCATAAGCGTCCACACACTGACTCAGCGCTGGGCCTCATGAGGACACAGAGCCCTCACAAGGGCACCATGACTCACTCTTCTCGCCAACCTCAAGGCCTGGCCACCAGGAGTGGGAATGTGGTTCTAGTGGACCACAGCACGGGACACCAGAGAACCATCAAGCCCAGGTTCCAGAAGAACACTCGATGGCATGTGGGCGAGATGGCATCATTCAGTGACTCCCAGCGTCCACTATGGGCATCGAGGCCTTCAGGCGCTTTTTAGGGAAAAGGTTTCTTGGCAAATGGGCTTGAGAGACACGAGACATAGTGCTGCTGCCCCGGAGGTACACGGGGAACCATGGGCACATAAGGGGCGGCCCAGCCTGCCGTGAAGGCACCTGTCCCTCTTGGTCTTGACTCTGAGTTCCCAGCACCTCCTATGCCTTGTTTCAGGTTGTCCACATCAACACCCAGGAACCTGCAGCGCTTAGAGCCACCTTAGAGCACAGCCTGACAGGAAGGGGGCTCTGAGACAGTCCCAGGCCTGGCCTGGCTCTGTCTTGGTTTTCAAATCTTGTCAAATGGAAATGGGGTCAGCAACGACAGCCTGGTTCTTCCAGCTCTGTGACAGCGCTCACTCATGGCACAAGGACCAGGGGCTCTGGGCAAAGCCAGCTGCCCAGCCTTCTCTTCCGACTGCCACACTTACAACATACTCACTTCTTCCCGTCCCACACCTGCCTGCATGTGTGAGCACGCACACACGCACGCACACACGCACGCACACACACACATGTACACACATAGGGCTCAGCTGCATGGTGCACACGAGACTCAGTAGACCCCCTAACCCTCAGACCACCCTGTCCACTTGAGGCAAGAACCCTTCAGTGCAGGTTGGTGGCACCAGAAATCTCATGGCAGCATGCTCCTGTGGTCAGGAGTGCACGGTGGTGGATGACCACTACATTTCCAAGGCGCAGCTTGTGCTGGGCTCTGCCTCCTGGAGAAGAAGGAGCTCAGCAGAGCGCCCAGGCTGGAATGCAAGAGGGGTTTCACAGCAGGATGTCCAGGGGGGCCAGCACTGGTCTGTGACCATGACAGCATGGGGGTCTGCCTCAGGAGCCACTCAATCATAGGCCCACCCAGTCTCCAGACACTGTCCCCCAAGGCCTGTGTCCTGAAGCCACAGAGCTGGGGATTCAGAGAAGGAAGCAGGAGAGAAGATTCCTGACATTCCAGAGTCAGCAAAAGAATGGAAACACATCCCCAGGGTGTCTTCCTTCCCTCACAACACCCTCTCTCACGAGGAAGCAGAGGGCCATCCAGATCAGCCACTAAGAACCTAAGGACAGCGAGGGGGAAGAGGGGAACAGCAGGAGACAGAGGCTGAGCTCCTGCAGCAGCTCCTGCTGGGGACCTCAGAGGGCAGCGCTCCTCGCTCTGCTGTCTGAATTGTTCGAGAAAGTATTCAGCACGATGCGATGCATGACTCTGACTCGAGCAACCACAAGACTTCTCTTTCTTTCCTAATCACTGGGGTCAGAGCTTCTTACAGCAGGGGTCCCAGGTAGAGGTGAAGTGCCAGGAAGAACTGGGTTAGGGTGACCTAGGAGCCCGGGCCTCCTTTCTGCAGGTGCAGGGTGAACCTTCTTAGCAGGAAACAGACTTCTCTCCATGAGTCAGGGCCTGGGGGAGGGCGTGGATCAGTCTAAAAGGCCACCCATGAAACCACCCCCACAGGGCAGTGAGCCTCAGCTATGAGCTGTCTGTGGGCAACAGGAATTTCCTAAAGTCCAGAGGGCGGCCCCACCTTCCTAGTTGTCATGTCACAGGCAGCCGCTGACCCAGGCATCTGCAAAAAAATGACCTGGTGTGGGCACCGGCATTGGAGGAAGGTGGTCACTGCCTCTCTTCCTGTCCTCCCCTCTCGGCGGGCTCTGGGGTCTTACACCCTGCCCAAGGCAATGCCCTGCAGGGTGCAACAGCAGGCCAGCCTTAGACAGGACAGCAGGTACCGTCAGGAGGAAAAAGCGGACCCGGGGCTCTCCTGGGCTCAGACACAGACGGTGGGCCAGAGCAGCCCATCTGCACAGCCCCAGAGAGTCCCCCAGTGACCCAATCACACAGATGCCTTACAAGAGCGGGGTCTGGGTCCCCCAACAGCCTTAGACCTGCCCCGGGGCCCTGTCCCTGCCACTGCCTCCTCTCCAAACAGGGTGACTTTCCTTGACCGGGTGCTGGGCATCTGGACAGTGCAGTGGCCTCTGAGCTGACCACAGCGGCCAGAGGGATCCTGATTTGAACAGCTGGATTGTGATACTTGTTTCCACAGAATGTATTTATCTTCAACTTCTTGTTGTGGAAGTTTCCAATAAACCCAAGACAAGAGCAGTGTATAAAGAACTTCATGTTCTCGTCCCCACCTTCAAGGTCATCCCCACCACAGCTGCTGGCTTCCTTGCTGCCCCTCCTGGGCTCCCACCCCACGGGCCACAGCCCCAGGAGGCTCTGAAGCAAATACCTGGCGTCTTGTGGATCTCAACACCAGAGTCCGTTTTCCCCTCTGGAAGTCAGACTGAATCACTTCCTCCTTCCAAACCCTTCTGATTTACCCAGTGCAGACCTGAGCTCCCCACGCTGGTGTCCAAGACCCGCTCCTGGGCTCCTCCTGATCCTGGAACACACAGCCACCCAGGCCTGACCTGCCCCTGGACACCCCCAGGGCCACTCCCTCACAGTTCCCACGTCTCAGTGGCCCCACCCTAGGAACCCGGCCTGAGCCCTCCTCTGGCCCACAGCAGGACTCCACAGATACCTAATGACTGAACCGCATGCTGTGTGACTCAATGGCCCTGGGACAGCAAGCAGAGAAGACAGACTTAGGCTCAGCGTGGTCACGTGAGCTGTCGCCCCACAGCTCCTAAATGGCAAAACTGGACCTGAACACAGGTCTTTTGGCTCCAAGTTGCATGCTTCTCCCACTCCTGTGTAGCTTCCCTGAAAGGAAATGTTGCTTAAACTGATGAAACAGAGACATACTTAGTGCATCACTGAACACATGGTATGTGCCAGCAGCCACCAGGCCCTGGGGACCCTGGAGTGTGGCAGGCAGAATAGTGGCCGCA